GACTTTTTTAATTTACACATTTTTTGCACGAGAAAAATGATACAAGTAGAACAAAATGACTCATTTAGAAATTCTTAATAAATTTTAAAATAATATGACGATATTGATAGCATGTAAAAAACATAATGATACACTTCTAACACTGATTGTAATAAACACAGGACACAGACACAGGTTCACTCACATAACAGACAAGAAATTAAGTAACAGAATACAGAATAGGCAACAGTCAATAAACAGTGAACAAAAAATATTAATTTGGGGTAGGGTCGGGTTTAAAAACAGAAAATAATGCTTTTAAGATTTCGTGCTTTTTTTAAAATAATTTTCTTCTTATTTTTATTGCTTTAAATTACTTAAATGATTTTTAAATGCTGGTTTTGGAAACCTAACATCAGCCAAATTAAATTGAGAATATCTTATTAATGAAAAAATTGTTTTTTATTGCTGATTAGTTAAATTATTAAATTAGTTAAATTATTCACATTACATTTTGTAATGTGAATAATTTATGTTCTTCAACTAACCACCTACCGGGTGGTTTCAAATGGGTATTTGAAAACTACATAATATTTCTATTTTTGTGATGAAAACATTTTTATAATTTGCGAAATAATATTATTGCCCTAAAAAGGGCATTCGAAAAAAAGAGGATCAATTTATAAATTGTTCGAATTGGCCTCCACACAAGCTCGAACACGTCTTATAAAATTCATCCTCATACGTTGAAGAGTCTCAACAGACAATCGCATTCTTTCTACGATGTTTCTAATTCGTTGTCTTAACACTTCGAGATTCTGAACTGGGGTTGAGTAGGCCTCTTGCTTAATATTCCCCCAAACAAAGAAATCTAATGGATTTAGATCCGGACTTCTAGGGGCCAAAACTGTGGCGCATTATTGCCACGACCAATCCACCTTCGTGGGTAATGCTGCTCTCGGACTTCCCTGGTGTAATGTGGTGGAGCTCCATCATGCATAAACCACATATTCGCTCGGGTCAATAATCTTCTAATAAGTCTTGAAGATTCTCCCTAAAAAACTCCAAATAGCGATTACCATTTAAATTTAGAGGCAATTCAACCCCCCGAGGGTTTACTGTGTGGGGAAAAGTTGCAGTAACTGGTTCCTTTAGAGTTCCAGTGGTTGGTGGTTTACAATCACATGTGGCTCCGTTGGAGCTTGAAAGAGAACTGACACCTGAAGATTTTCTAGAATCTGAAATTCAATGGCAATATGTGGCAATATTTGATGAAGAACCACTCCAGAAAAAAAAAACAAGACGGGAGGGTCGATCTAGTAAAAAAAAAAAAAAACATCTACAAGCTCAGTAAAAAATCGGCCTATTAGGAATCAGCCAATTAGGAATCCGCCTGCCTATTAGAGAAAGTCGATCGGTAAAGATGATAGGCGAAGAATTACTTGCCGAGTATAAAAAAAAATTGGCAAAATCAGGATCTGTTGAATCTAGAGAAAAAAAATTGGAATTTAAAATCGCCTATTAATTAATACAAGGTGATTCTTTTAGGGCCTATATTAGAAACTTTTTAACTTCTAATGCAGATAGGAATTTAAAATTTTGTACACAACTCAAATCGACCAGTCTAAATTTAATTAAATTATTTTCAAAATGGCTGAACTTCCGGAACTACGAGAAAATGGTGCCAACTTTGAAATTTTAAATAGTAACCACTTATTTTTATTGCATTTTTGAATTCTCCTCTCTAAACTGAGTAAAATGTACCTAGTTGTTAGTACTTATCTGTCATAGTTTTTGACATATGTCAATTTTTTTCTCAAAATTCACATTTGCAGAGGTTCATTAAAAACATCACAGCTCTTGAACTGTTTGCGATACGTAAATAATTTTTTTTGCATTCGATAACCACAGGTTCAAAGAGTTTCCTAAAATTTTCAAAATTGACAACTGTCAAATTGTAAAGCTTTTATGATTTTTTGAAAACGATAATTAACAAACAGCTATAACTCAGTTTTTTCAAATAAAATGGCCCTGTTTTCTCAACGACAATCGAAAGTACATCGATTTGTAGAAGGACTTTCATCAACATGGCCTATACCCATCTCTTACAGTTTCTGAAATAATCACGAAAAACTTGTTTTGTTTTTTATTTTTATAGTTAATCACGTAAGCTTTGGAAAATGATCAATACGTACGAGTATTAAATATTTAGTCTACACATCACCCATCCGGAATTACAAAGAATTGAGGCAAGGATTGAGGCGGCATTTAATAAGCTTTAACCAAATGAAATAATAGAAACCACTCAATCAGTTCACCATCGAGTTTTGGACTGTTTGAAAATGGTAAACATAACGACCATCTGCAATAATCTGTATATCTTTATTGTATTTTTCCAAAGCCTACGTGATTAACTATAAAAATAAAAACAATATTACAATAATAACATGTTTTTCGTGATTATTTCAAAAACTGTAACAGATAGGTATAGGACATGTTGATAAAAGTTCTACAAATTAATGTACTTTTAATTGACGTTGAGAAAATAAGAGTTATTTCATTTGAAATAACTGGGTTATAGCTGTTTGTTAATGATCATTTTCAAAAAATCGTACTAGCCTTGCAATTTGACAGTTGACAATTTTGCAAATTCTAGAAAACTTTTCGAACCTTTGGTTATTGAATGCAAAAAAAAATATTCACTTTTCTCAAAGGGTTTAAGAGCTATGATGTTTTGAATGAACCCCTGCAAGTGAAAATTTTGACCAAAAAATTGACATATGTCAAAAACTATGACAGATAAGTACTACCAACTAGTTTTCTTAGTTTAAAAAGGAGAATTTAAAAATGCAATAAAAATAAAATTTCAAAGTTGGCGATAATTTCTCGTAGTTCCGGAAGTTCAGCCATCTTGAAAATAATTTAGTTGAACTCAGACTGGTTGATTTGTGTTGTGTACAAAATTTAAAATTCCCATCTGCATTAGAAGTTAAAAAGTTTCTAATGTAGGCTCTAAAAGAATCACCTTGTATAGATGTGATGTCCCCATTATTGTACTCTTCTCTTAAATAATTACGAAGCTGTTGGTTCTCCATATCGCAGAGTCGAACCAGGAAACCGTGCATCGCAAGCTAAAATTCTTCCCTCTGAATCTGAAACCATCATCACATTAAGACTGTAAAACACCTTTGTGTTCATGTAGACGCGAGGATTATTTGCATCAGTAGCTGGTGGGAAAACTATTGCTACATGTGAGCCATCAATGCAACCCAGCACCATCGGAAATTATGTTTTTCGTAAAATTTTTGCTTAACTCTTGCTTTTTCTACAGGTTCAGTAGGGAATTTGATCCATTCCGGTATTAACACCTCTACAATGAGTAGAAATTTCTGCGATGGAACGACTCACACACGTTTGACTTAATGATATTCAGGAACATCTAACTACTGCGTGCTGATATGAACCCTTGGCCAAAAAATGTGGAGTAGCTAGAACCTGTGTGTTTCAAATAAAAATTGTATAATATTTTTTATAATTTTTATTATTTACTCTTAAATAAAACGGTAAAACTGGCAACGGCATGTGGCGTCAACCAATTAATTAACTCTATAGTTAACTCCCTGTAGAGTCGAAAATTGTCTTGAAACTCGTTTTCGATGATCTCAAAGGGATTTTGTGCATCCCGAAGGTGTCTATGAATTCTCATAAAATTTCAAAGATACCATTTATAAATATAAATGAGATAATAATTGAGAAAATTCTCAATAGGATGAAAATAACTTACCTTCTTTCCTCTTCATTTAACAATAAATATACAGGGTGAATATAAAGTATGGAACCAAACGGTTTTATTTTTAAACATTTGCCTCCAGAAAATAATAATTAATATAAATTAAAAATTGTTTTGTTTTTGAGTTATGCGATTTTTTTTGTCAAAATTGCAATTTATGTGAAAAATTTTTTTTGAAAAAATTAAATATAAAGCATATTGTTGTAATCCTTAGAGTATAGCTTTTATGAGAAAAATGATTTTATAGTGGGTTGCCATTTAAAAAAATATTTTTTTTTTTGTAGAACTCAAAAGCAAAAGGAAATTTTGAAAATTTTTATTCTTGTTAAAATATCACATTTTTATAGTACTTTATCACTCATCAATTAGTTTTATCAAAAAATAAATAGTTTAAGCAAAAAACGTTTGGTTCCATACTTTTTATTCTCCTGGTATGTATTGCAATTAGTGCAATATTGTACGATCCATCACTGAACTATGACATTGACCTTGTTACTATGACAATAAATCCTTATAGAGATTATAAGTCTTTACGGTCAGCAATTTTCTCGCCATAACTTTATACAGGATGTTCCGTCTAAACCCCACATTAAAAGTATTGGGAGTTCGAATAATCATATTTGTTTGAAAATTGGTACATAGCCATAATGCATTAAGTCCTCCTAAATGAAAATATTTTCAAGATGGCGGCACTTCCGGTTATACCGGAAGACGGTCTTAACTTTCTTATCTTAAATGGAAAGCTATATTTTTTACTGCGTTTTTGGATTAATCGGGTTATTCTAAGAGAGTTTTCATCAGCTTTCCCTATACCTAAATTTAGCTGTTTTTGAAATATTTGGAGTTTTTCAAAAATTTTTGGATCTGCACCTTCCACTATAAAAATCGGTAACTCTGCTATTTTTTAAAATTTTGAATTCGTTTTTTTGGCGTTTGAAAGAGAAAGTTTAGATCTTTCTTCCGATGTTTTCAAATTTTGAAAAAAAAAATTAACAAACCATAAAATTTTAAGGTTACTTTTGTAATAATTCAAATACCCATAACTCAATTTTTCCAAATGAAATCACAGTGTCAGCTTCCTTATCTTTTATCATTTTCGAGAACTGTTTAGCCCTTAATTAATTTTTCAGTAATGTATTTTTGCTATCTCTTTTGGGGTTTTGCAGGTTTGAGTGACTTAATTTTATTTTTTAAACGACAGCAAAGGCTACATACATATATCAAAGCAAGTTAAATAAAAGCTTATAAAATAGCTACGAATTCGATATCGTGCCTGTACTAAATCTCCCGTTATATGAATTTCGGATTTATTAACTTTATTTTGTTTGTTTTACGACATTAACAAAATAAAATGCTATAAATAATTGATTTAATTGTACGGTTAAATTAATTGTTTTGTTGTTCAACCTGGATAAGAAAATTACAGAGTTTTAGTAAAGGTTTTATATTGATTTTTGTGCACTTGAAAAATGATAACAAAAGTGACAAGCTTCATTTTTAGTATCGGTAATTTTATTGCAGTTACTCCTTTATATAGTAATGGAGAAATAACAGTTGTACGAAAATTTTACGGTTTATTTTTTGCCATTGTTTTAACAATATCAATACTTGTATCAACAATCAATAGAGACTTTTATAGAAATATTCCTACAGTTCCGGCTATAGAACGCACAGTTTTAGACATTAATATGGCAGTACTTAATTATTATGTTATATTTTCCGTAATTTTTTGGAAACGGACGCAGTGGCAAGACCTAGTCAAAATACTTCACGTTTTAATCGACAAAAATTGTTTTTCATTTGCCGTAGTTTTTCTCCTAGCACAAATCTTTGATGTTGCATTTTTAGTAACGGCCTTTAGTTTAAAATTAGATTTGATGGGATTTGAATATATAAAAAAATATAATTTTGTGTACGTGCAAGACTATATGATTTTTTTCTGCAACACATTCATCTGCTTTATTTTAAGCATTGTTTTACTAAAATACAAACAGATTTATTATTCGCTTCTTCATACATACCAAATTGAAACTATTGAAAGAGTTCAACATAGGTTAAGGTTTTTAAAATTCGTCAACGACAGTTTTAACAATATTTTTGGGTGGCCAATATTTTTAATCATCTCGTATACTACGCTTCATCTTCTTTGTCACTTTGATAACATATTTGTGACGAGTATAAGTCAGAAGTATGGATCTATACCGACCAAAAAAATTATTGCTGATTTTTCGATCTTGTTTTTGTGTTTTGTAAGTATATCATGAATGTTGACTTATTAATATTTTGTTGGGTTAGTTTGGAACCGCAAGTATGATTTTGATCTGTGATGCTGTTCGTATTGAAGCTGAAAAAATTTTGACTATTAGCTACAAGCTCACAGAATTTTATAATAAAGAAGTACATCTTACCAAAGTAATTTTGAAAAATTTCCCAACATTCTCAGCTGCAAGGTTTTTCAATGTTGACCGATCAACACTATTCAAAGTTTTAACCTCTGTGATTGGTTTTTTTATTGTCATAGTGCAGATTCGTCAAAACTAGCAATATGAACGAAGATGTTTGTAATGTGATTATACTGTCCACAAATAACCGAATAAAGTTTTCGTTGTCTAATTGTATTGATTACTTGATTAGCACAGAACAAAAGGGTTGCTTATATTACAAGAATGAAAATGAATAAAGAAAAAAGAAAAAAAAAAGAACTGTAATAATGCTAAAAAAAAGGATCATCTTCCTCCAAAGAAATGAAATAAATACAAACAAAACACGCGCAAATTCAAAAACACCAAATAAATACAAATTGGCCAAAAGTCAAGATCGTCGTCAAAAGGAAGAAACCTATGTTGTGTTTTTAATAATAGCGAACCTGATCGTTGTAATACGCATGTGTGGGTATTTGTAATGGGAGAGTACTAGACTAAAAACATAAAACAAAAGAGTAATTAAACAGACTATAAACAAAACATAGGTACAACGAAACTACCATCAAACCCCCAGCTAACAACAACCCTTCATTCTTCCCCTCTCTCCTTCTCGGTATTGGCTTGTTAAATTTATATAATAAAAAATAGAATTACTTAACATTAAAATATTCAAAATCAGTAAAGTCACATTCTAAATATTCTGCAGTAGAATAAAAGCTTTTTTGAGCTAAGTAATTTTTGACTGTATGAAGGAAATTATTAGGTGGTAGATGCTTGATGTGAAATGGTAGATGTTATAAAATTTAATACAGAAGTAATTGATACCATATCATGTCTTACTTTACTCAATCGTAGATTATTAAAACAAAGGTCTTCAGTTCTTGTGTTGTAGTTATGAAAGGAGTTTAAGATGGTGTACCGATCCTTATGTATAATTACATATTCTAAACATTTGAAGATAAACAATGAGGGTAAAATTAGTATCTTAAATTTTCGAAAAAAGATTTTACAATCTTCACGGTAGGGAATTCCTGCCATCACTCTTACAGCCCGACGTTGTAGCCTGAAAATCCTTGTTGTTAAACCAGTGTGTTCCCACAAAATAATGCAATACTCTATGTGACTCTGTATTAAGGCCAAATAAGCAGTTAAAGTTGTTTTTTGTGAGATACAATTCGTCAGATTTCGAAGTAAGTATACAGGGTGTTTCGTTTTTATTGTTAAAAATTTAAACAGGTGATAGAATATTCAATTTTAAGATAAAAGTTTCCTATAAACATGTATCGAAAAATGCTACGCGAGAGCTACACACCCTCAAAGGGGTGCTTCTTTTAATAGATTTTTTTCAATATTTTAGAAGCCATTGTAGATAAAATTACAAAAGTTGGTACAACTGATAACCTTTATACATCCAAACGAATTCAAAGATAAAATGTCGAAATTTTTACTCAGGAGCGTCCTAAACTGGGGGGGGTTTAGAGTAAAAAGTACCCTAATTATTTTGGCTGTTGGTTCTTGACACTTTCAGCCACAAAATTTTAAATTTCATTGTTTTTTACAAAAATAGGTCTCTTGCGTTTTTTCGATACAACTTACCGTTTTTGAGTAAAATCAGTTTACAATATGTGTTACAGACCATAAATAAGATAAAAATTACATTTTCTTATCGTTTAAGACGTCCGTGTTAGAAAATTTCGACAACTGATCTTTGAATTTGTTCAGGTGTTTAAAGGTTATCAGCTGTACCAACTTTTGTAATTTTATCTATTCTGCAATAGTGGGAAAACCCCATTAAAAACGCATCTCTTTCAGAGGGTGTAGCTCGCTTACGAACCATTTTTTGATACATGTTCAGGAAACTTTTGTCTTAAAATTTAATATTATATCACCTGTTTAAATTTGTAACAATAAATGCGGAACACCCTGAATGTTTTTGATATCGCCACGTTAATGTCCGATCTACAGTGGGTCCTAAGAATTTTGTATGTACAACATCCGATGGAAAGCAATCTAAATTTTTTGTGCTAAAAGTCATTTTAATTGTTTTGTTCGGCATTCAAGTGAAGTTTGTTAGATAAAAGCCATTTGTGTACTTGTTTATATTCTTTTGACATATCAATACCATGCAGTCAGTGTACTTCCTGATTTACCAAGAGTAGTGTCGTCTACTGTATTAATTTGTGGCACACAGTCTGGCAAATCGTTTATGTAAATCAAAAATAAGAGTGGTAATTTATTTTTAATAGTTTTTATTAGAAGTAATTACTAATTAGAAACATTATCTTTTACGAATATCTTATATAATAGATAATCCTATTCAACTTTAGATAAGAGGTTTAAAGAACATTTGAAAAACACTTTTATTTGATCTGTCGCAAGTGAGGCGGTGTCATTTGAAATTCCGAAATAGAGGTGGAAAAAGTTAGAGGGTTAGTGGGGGTGATTTTAAATTGTGTCAAAATTGTCTTTTTTTAAAAGCAAAATTAACCTGTTTCGTTTTTTTTGTAAATTCTTTCTAGTTCGTTTTTATTAATTTTGGTCAAAAGTTTTGAAAAGCTTGTTAAATAAGCTTTCATTTGATGCGTCACAAGTAGGCTAGTGCTATTTAAATTTATAAAGTTGAGGTGTGTGGGGTTAGGGGGTTACTGGGGGTGCTTTAAAAATTACGTCAAAAAATGTCTCTCTCGGAAACAAAATTGATCTGTTTCGGCGTTTTTGCCAAGTCTTTTTAGTTTCTGAGATATTCGGGGTGGCTCGTTTTCATTGGAACATTCTATATGTGACTCAGCCTGTATATGAATTTCCGTGTTGGACCAAGGGTCGAAAAATTTTCATTTCGTCATCCAAGTTGGGCCAGTTTATCTGCCCTTATACCAATAATAATAATACCTGCGTGTGGTTCAATCTCAATTTTGTAATTATAAATTATTAATTATTGAAAAGTACTACAGATTTTTAAAAAAATTGTCAATATTTATTGAAACTACTTGACTTAACTGCTCAATGGTTTTAAAAAAAATAAGAAACAAAAATTTTATAATAAAGTTATCAAAATAGAGATTTTTATTTATTTATTTTCAAATGACTTGGGAAAAGAAGTCTGTATAAGGTTTATTAATAACATGATGAAACAAGAACGCCGACCACATTATTATTCATTTTTGAGATATCGTAATTTTAGTTAACCCGTGTTTTAATAACTTTATTTTAAAATAATTATTTGTTTATTTAAATCCATTGAACAGTTAACTCAAGCATTACAATAATGGTCGACAAAATTAGTCAATTTTTAAAAAATCTGTAGTGCCACGTAAACATGTAATAACCATAACAACGCGAGTAAAATTAAATTATAGGAGTAATAATTATTACATTTATTTTTGCGCGATTACACTATTCGATTGTTTGTTTACTACGTTTGTTGCCAAGACAGTAAGTTGTACCTATTTACTCGTTGCTATCCCAAACTCGTCGGTAAGTATTTTGTTTATTATTGCTAAGTCGGTAAGCATTCAAAAACCTTGCCAAAGTATTTTGACGTTCTAGAACATTTGTTAGATATTTTATTAAAAAAAAACTAACAAAAATCAATCAATCACAAGCATCACCAGCGTTAAGAACTTACCGATCTCACAATAACACAATTCTCTTTAATCGGTAAAATGTCCTTACCGTTCTTGATGCTTAATAAATATACTATTGTTTCGTGCAGTGATTACGAAACTTCATATTTCTTTGCCAATGTTCTTATAGTCTAATAGCCCGCGGTCGCCAGACCTTCGTTATTTTATAAAAGCTGAAAATTTGTCAGCGCATACTTCCAACACAGGTAGGAACGATGGGCAAGTATGAAGTTTGGGTCATCGTGGCTTTGGGAGATAACAGGTAGCAAAGAAGTAAAAAAAATGTTAACTTAAAATTATCAAATAAAAAAGCCTATTTTTTTATATTTTGTTCGAAATAATATTAGAAATCATCTCATCCATTGCCAGACACTTAACTTCGTGGCAAACCCTAGTCAGACACCCTTAAACTTTAATAAATTGTAACTGTACTTACGGTATACTATAAAAGCTGAATTTTGTACATGTTACTTGGAAACTATTAGAAGATGTTTTCTCATTAGCCAGACAGTTTTGCCAGTTCTAAGTGTTAAGTTCTAAATTTTAAGTAAAATAAATATGATTCAGTTTTGACAAAGTATCATCATGGGAGGCCTATAGCTACCCTATATGTTTGTCTGGCCGGGGGTAAAACTGTCGAAACTGTCTGGTTACTGAGAGAAAACATCTTCTAATAGTTGTCCAAGTAACATGTATAAAATGCAGCTTTTAAAACAGTTACAATTTATTAAAGCTTAAGGGTGTCCGACAAGGGGTTGCCACTAAAATAAATGGCATGTTCCTTTGCAAGTGTTGCTGCACTCAACACAACAGGGCCGTATTTAACCAAAGTAAAAGGTTTTTCCTAAAATTCCCAGAAAATTACCTGCCCCATTTTAATAATAACTTGTCATTAACCACCTGGCGTTTTCAAATTTCTTAAAATATTTAGTTGACTTCAATAACAATTACATCAAATAACAACAAAATATTAAAGTAAAAAAAAATTAAGTAAGCTGCGACGTGCGTTCATTAGAAAACCTCATGCAAAAGGAGAATGTATTTTTTAGATCCAGTGATTAGATTACAGAATTTGGAAACCAACTCGTTTCAGACAAGAAAAAAGTAAATAATCCGACCCTGGTAAAAACTGACTTGTTTCCTTCGTTTCTTGGCCTGGGTGGGTTCCACAGATTCATGATATGTTTACCCTCTGGTTTACTCTTAACAATACCGCATTTAACTTAAAAGTAATAAAATTTTTAGTAGGTCTTAGCAAAATGATATTACTGTATGCGCTGACAAATTTTCAGTTTTTATAAAATGACGAAGGTCTGGCGACCACAGGCTCTTGCTCTATTAGGTAGTCTTCAATTTTATGATGCGAAATGATTTATTGGGGATAGTTGCGGTCGGACGGACGATAGCTCGTTTTATGGACACAACAATTTCAAATCGACTGACTGTACCTGGTACGAATTTTAAATAAAAACACTTTGTTTTGTGTTTGTCTGGTTTGCTTAAGTAGGTATAAACAAATACAAAAAAACAAGTTTAACAACCAAGGTTGTATAAAATGTACATATAGGTAAGTGGGTTTAGTCAATGGTTTAGTGATCGACCCACAACAGTTTGAACACGCCGAATGACTGCAACGTCACATTCGCGTGTAACAATAAAAGTATTCTCACCTTAGCTGTAGTTTCTTAATAACCTAAAAGTGTACAGAAAATTTACAAAATGATAATCAGCGTTAATATTGACGTGGATTCGGCTTTATTTTATGGATTAATAGTTGCTGTTATTTTTCTTATATTATATGTATGTTTCGATTTGAATTATTTTTTAACAAATATATTTTTGATAACGTGGTGTAAAATACGACGCAAACGTGTGAAAATTAATGAAACAACAGAATATTATGGTAAGTAACGGTAATTAGCAATTCAAGTATTTATATTTGAATCTTTGATTTAATTTTAACACTTTAATCGTGTTTGCTTTGCATGCGAATTTTCAAACATTACATCATGTCATCCTACTCATCTCTTACGAAGGGCTATTTGATAGACTTTTTATACATATGTATTTATATCTGAGCACAAAATAATCAGTTTTCAACAGTAATATCACACGAGAGTGACAATAAAATGAAAATTATTTGGAAGGACTTTTCAAAAACGTGTTGCCAGGTAATTAACGTGAGAGCCAATGGCAACACGTTTGTTAAGTGTACAGGGAGTTCGCGGATTGCGAGCAAATATTTTAACTACTAATAAAATTCGTCAAGAAAACAATTTTTCTATTTCCAACTTTTGCCGAAAGCACGTCAACTAACTTGCTTTACATTCATTCATAAGAAAAAACTTTGGAACGTAAATAGCATAAAGACAAAAAAATTATCGCTACATTAAGGTAGATCAGTGGCAGTGTTAGTGCTACAAAAAATGCCCTAAATGTGGTCCTTCGTTGGCAATGCACATTTGTACCCTTCGGGGTAGGAAAGCTTGCGTTCGCACACATAGCCCTTCGAGGGCATTAATTTGAGCTGCGTACACTAATTGTTTCATGTGATCCCACAAAAAATCACACGGATTTAAATCTGGTGATCACGGTGGCCATACAATTGAAGCTTGACGACCAGTCCATCTTTCGAAAAAATGGTTGTTTAACTAATTGATGACGCCTCAAGCGTAATGGCGTAATTTTGTAAATATTACTCGCCAAGGACACGTCCTCCACCAGATTAGCCTACACATTTTCCAAAAAATCAAGATAAAAGGCACTAGTTAAACGTTGAGGTAAAATGTGGGGTCCAATTAAAATTATTTTCAATGATGCGCAAATATTTAGTGAAAATCGCTCTTGGAAGTGATGTCTGTATGTACAGGGTGCTGCATTTTGGATGTCTGAATAGGGAATCTCCGAAACTAAGATGTTTAGCCAAAAACGACTGATACATTTTGGAGCTCATTTTTTGAGAAAATAATATTGGTGAAAACCGCATCTTGCTATCGTCTTTTGTTTTGGACTTACAGACAAAAGTTGACATTTTGGCGAAATCTAAAGAAATTCATATCTTCGTTATTATAGAAGATACGGATTTGAAATAAAGACATTTTACAGGCACATTTTTACGAGGAATTTAATAATGTAGTTAACAATTTTTTTCAATTAGTAGTTTAGCCGTAATAAGATAAACTTGTATTTTTTTAAATGGAAATCATAGGCGGCTATGGCAATTTTGACAAACCTATTTTTTTCTGATCTAAAAAATATATATTTGTTACATAATATTTTTTTATAACTATACTTAAAAACTGAAATACATATTTTGTTTGATAATAGTTGGCCATGGAAAAACTCTTTCACTTCAAATGTGTAAATAATAATCAATAAGAGTTTTGTGAACTGTAAAATAGATGAAAAAATAGATAAATTATAAAAATTTAAAAAATACGATACGATAGAAGTATTGAACAAATATGCGAGCGCCTCAGAACAAATTATTACATATTTTTAAGAAATCCAAAAATTGGAAAAACAAAGGTGTCAGCAGTCAACACAATTAGAAAAAACATTTTTTTTGATGATCTAATGGAGGTATGATAACGTTCCACATAGACGGAATTTGGGTATTTGAATAGCCATATGCTCATTTTTGGGTCATATAAAATTTATTTTATTGAAGAATTAATGCGGCTTTTTTTACAACACTCTATGTATCACTAGAAATTACAATGGTAATGTTAGCTTGTTTAAAAACAACAAAGTGTTATTAGTCGCCAATAAGTTGATTTACGATTTATTTTGCATTTTTTTCGTTACTTACTACTTAGAAAACTCTTTTATTAGTGACACTGGTTGAATAAATATAGTTTAAATCCTTTTAGTTGAAGATGCAACATTTTTTCATGGCCAACTGCGAACAAAAATCAAAGATAATTTTTTGCTAAAAATGTGTTGTAATAATTTGTTACAAATATATATTTTTTAGATAAGAAAAAAACAAGCTTTCTAAAAATGACATAGCCATCTATGATTCCCATTTAAAAAAATACAAGTTTATTTTATTACGGCTAAACCAATAACTGGAAAAAAATATTAGCCACATTATTAAATTCCTCGTAAAAAAGTGCTTGTATAATGTCTTTATTTCAAATCCGTATCTTCTATAATAACGAAGATATGAATTTTTTAGATTTCGCCAAAATGTCAACTTTTGTCTGTAAGTCCAAAACAAAAGACGATAGCAAGATGCGGTTTTCACCAATATTATTTTCTCAAAAAATGAGCTCCAGAATGTATCAGTCGTTTTTGGCTAAACATCTTAGTTTCGGAGATTCCCTATTCGGACATCCAAAATGCAGCACCCTGTACATGTCGGCCCAATTACAACTGACTAAACTGTCGCGTGTAAACAAAAAAACTGATATTTTTTTTTGTGCCTTTCTTCTACACAAGAACTTTCACGATCAACATTCAATCCAAATTATTTTCATTGATATTTTGACTTCTACCTAACAATGACAGGCACACTGAACGGTTCGTGTTAATCCTGGAGGGGAAATGCAAAAAAAAAAATTAACACGGAATTTGTTTGATCTTCAAATTGATTTTTCATATCGTATTCTTTTAGTGGTTAAAATATCTGCTTGCAATCCGGGAACACTCTGTATGTATTATGTAACTAGTGTTGTGTTTTTTTAATTAAACGGATGTTTTTATACAATGACACATAACCTTTAAAGAACTAGTTTATTAAGTTTTATTTATTTTAATCCGAAATCTGATGATTGACTTTTTTTGATATGCATCCAATGACATCAATGACGTACTAAAAATAATGAATACTCGTTAATTAATTGCGGAATGTTTGTTTTTAATACGATTCGCAGTACACTAAAGTTTTTAGATACAAAAACTCATTTTAGATCAACGCTAACTAGCATGAGTGGAAATCATTTAAGTATGTATGTACATATTAATATTTCATTAATATTTTGCAGTGAGATAAATTTTGTAATGTTTAAATTTTTCTAATTTTTTTTTAAACAGAATTGATATTTCTGCAAATTAGTCATAATATAGAATATTCAAAAAGATTCTAAATCGTAAATTTACTATTAAATTTATTGCTCTTATTGCCGTTTAGAAGCAAGCTGTTTACAAAGTTAAGTGAAATCAATTTGTTAAAAAAGTTTATGTATTTTATTTCTTTTTCTGTACCTATTGAATTATATGGCAATTATTAAATTTTTTTGTGAAAAATCGAACCTATAATTTATTGTAGTGAATTATGTGTTCATAATTCACTGTATCCAGCCAAAAACATCATCTTCGTCATCTTCTGTCATAATCGCTCATATCGAGTTTTCAAGATAATTTGTAATCGAGTCATCTTAGCATTTGCATCTGAGAACGAGTTGAAAAAGTCCATTAGTGACCTTTAAATGATGAAATAAAATAGTATATTATAATACTAGTTTATAAGCAAGCCTTTAAAACACGCACGACGGGTTTGTTTTAACGTCGTAACTCTTTACTTACTTTACTCCGCTGACGCGTCGTGCTCTTAAACCCGTCGTGCGTGTTTTAAAGGCGCTTATAATGAGTGTTATACGCTATTTTTATTATACCTGCCCATTTACGATCTTTTATGACCATTGAAAAAATGTGAATTTACACAATAAAATTATCAAAGGTTGTTTGTGAATCGTTTTCGCAGAGACGGTTACTAGTTTAAAGCACATTTTTTCACGTTGCAATTGGTCCAGACATTTCACTATTTCTTGTTACCTAAACAACTTTAAAATTTCAGCGTGCTATAAAGGCCAAATTACGCACGCTGCAGCGTGTTTTAATTTAGGATTATGATGCAGGTATAATAAATAAAAATATACAGGGTGTTCCGTTTTTATTGTTACAAATTTAATCAGGTGATAGGATATTCAATTCTAAGACAAAAGTTTCCTATAAACATGTATCGAAAAATGCTTGGTAAGGGAGCTACACCCCCTGGAAGGGGGCTAATATGTTTTTGCTAATATTTCAGAAACCATGTAAGATAAAATTACAAAATTTGGTACAGATGCTAACCTTTATACACCTAAACGAATTCAAACATCAAATGTCGAAATTTTTTGTCAGGGGCGTACGAAACTGGGAGAGTTTAAGGTAAAAAATACCCTATTTATTTTGGCTTTAGTTTCTTTAGTTATGCATTGACCAAAATGGTGGTCACTTTGAACAACTCCTTTAGATTTAGGCAAATTCATTTAATTATTGTTACTGTAATGTAATGTTAATTATTTGAGGTTGATTAAAAAATGTGAATTTCTTGCTTTTATTATTCTGTAAATTCTGATTTATTTGAATGTTGTATTGGTGTGTAACATAAATTTTAAATTAATTTTATTCAAAAACAATAAGTCGTATCGACACAAGAGACTTTTCTGTGATAAACTATCGAACTTAAGATTTTGTTGCTGAAAGTACCGAGAAACTAAAGCCAAAATAAATAAGGTATTTTTTTACCTTAAACTCCCCCAGTTTCGTACACCCCTGATTAAAAATTTCGACCTTTGATACTTGGATTTGTTTAGGTGTATAAAGGTTACCATCTGTACCAAATTTTGTAATTTTATCTTAAATGGTTTCTGAAATAATGTTTTTGCTAACATATTAGCCCCCGTCCAGGGGGTGTAGCTCCCTTACCAAGCATTTTTCGATACATGTTTATTGGAAACTTTTGTCTTAGAATTGAATATCCTATCACCTGTTTAAATTTGTAACAATAAAAACGGAACAGCCTGTATATAGCACATTGATAGATACTAATCTAGTCCATCGCCTAAAATTATTTTCAACTATACAGCATGTCCCAAAAATAAGTTTAGAGCAAACTTATGTTTTTTTTTTTAAATCAAACACCGTATGTTTCTTTGCATTTTGGATTTAGCCTTTTAAAACAATGTTTTTACGCTAAACTTTTATTAGTCGATTTCGCTTAGTCTTAGAAATAAGTCGTTTTTTTGACGAATACATGCACTTTTTAAAAATGTATTACACAAAAACTAAGACATCTAGAAAGACATTTTTTCTTATTTCTGCAAAGAAGAAAGTACAGAATTTAAAGATGTAGTAATTTATTAGTGTTTTGCATTTGTAAAGATTAACAAATTAAGAAGTTTGTTAAAAGTTAAATAACTTAAAAAATTTAAATGAAGCACTCTATTTTTTTATTTTTGCATCTAATAGATTGATAAATTGTCTATCTAAAAAAATAAACTTTTAATGTCTAGAATTGATAAATGAAAAGATATTTAACATTCAATATTAGTTGTAGCAACAATTTCTAGATGTCTTAGGTTTTGTGTAATAAATTTTTAAAAAGTGCATGTTTTCGTCAAAAAAAATGTCTTATTTATAAAACTAAACAAAAAGTTTAACAAAAAACATTGTCCTAAAAATCTGTATCCAAAAATGCTAAGAAACATAATATGGTGTTTCGTTTAAAAAAAAACACAAGTTTGTATCGTAACTTACTTTTGGGACATGCTGTATGGTTGAAAATAATTTTAAGCGATGGACTAGACTAGTGTCTATCAATGTTCTATATTGTTTTTTTTTAATATAACCAATTAGAGGTCACTAATGGACTTTTTTATCTCGCTGGGACACCCTGTATGTCTGTTTTTGAACTAACTGCACGTGAAACCTCAAATAAAATGACAAGTTGAAAGGTAAAACGGCAAAGTGAGTTGAAATAAGACCGTTCTTTTATGAAGGTAAATTATAAATTTAGTTATTATAATCATCACCCTTTTGATCATGCCATTTTGAAAACCTTTTCACTTGTCATTTTAATGTTTTCGGTTCTGAGGATAACTCGATTACAAATTGTCTTGATCGCTCGATAATAGTATAGACCTAATTCTAATTACTTATATTTTATTAGGTGTATGCACAACAAATGACTTGGATATCTACTTTCAACATATGAATAATGCCCGTTACATACGAGAATTAGATTTTGCTAGATTTCATTTTTACCAAAGAACTGGTATCTATGAAATTTTATTAAAGTCTGATGGTCTAGTGTTGCAAACAGCATGTCACGTTAGATATCGAAGAACAATTCCGTTCCTTACTCCATATAAAATAACTACGAGAGTAAGTTTTGTTTCTTTTTGTTTTTACTTTAAAATAAGAGTATTTTTGTTGCAGGTTATTTACTGGGATGAAAAACATATTTATTTAGAACACCAGTTTGTTACTTTAAGTGATGGTTTTCTAACGACAGTAATTTTATGTAAACAAACAATTCTAGGTGTAAATGTAATTGAAATGATGAATATATTATTAGATCAAAAGAACGACGAAAATTATAAGCCTGATCCACCTCCAGAATTCGAAGACTGGATACATTTAAATAAAAAATCTAGTGCACGATTAAGAAATGGAAATCGATGTACAAATTTTTGAGATGTGGATTAGGTATTGTATTGTTAGGTTTTTGTTAAGCATGGGGTACTGTACTCAAGTTTTTTATTGTATAAATTAAATCTACATTAAAATTTAAAATACCCGTATTGTTTCTCTTTTTTCAAATTTATTTCAAAATAGTAAAATAAATTAGCAATCTTGCAAAACTTTCGCACTTGTCTTTTCCGGTGCATTTCGTTACACCTTAACAACATCCAATTGCACCCGGTGCATTCTAAATTTTTCTATGCTTGGAAATAATTTAAAAAGTGCTGTCAACTAATTGTAAATATAAAAATACATGACATAAATAGTGTTTTTTTTATGTTTTTATAGGTTTCTGTTTATTAAACATCTGTTTACGTTTATAAAAGTTGGCTGGGTAAAGTAATATTACCTTACCGAAATGTCAATTGTCAACATTTGTCAAAGAATTGAAAAGTAATAAATGTACTTAAACAATGTATGTATGTACTTAACGTTATTTATTTAAACAGAAAGAAAACTGTAAACAATACCTTTTAGTTTAGTATAACAATGAAAATTCCGGGAAAAATTCACTTCAACTGCTTTTCATTATTGCCATCTAAATAAAAAAATAATTGTTGCAATCAGTGTCATAACAGATGTCTTAAAAGTCCTCGCTGGTAAACTCTTTGGGATTTCAACTAACATCTGTTATGACATCCTAGATATGTTAATAGATATAACAGTGCAATTAATAATTTCGATGTTCACATGTATTAGCTAAATTTTGAAGCTAATTACACTAATGCAAGGTTAAATATGTAAAATTAAAATCAATATACAAGGTGTTTATAAATGTCTGGGCATCAAGTTGACTTTGGAAGTTATGTTAACCCATTCGTGCCCATCGTATGATTTACCATACGAGAAACATTTTCGGCTTTGCAGCCTTTTTTCTGCAACTAGGTGATTTGAGCAAGGCAAAAGAAAATGCCAAAAAAGTACCAAAACGAAAAAGGAAATTTAAAGAAGTGGATGAAAACAGTAAGAAACCTAGAAAAACCAAAGACTGATAAACTCCTAACTAAGACTGATAAAAAGGACACTAAGACAGTTATACAAAAACAAGCAAATATCGATAGTGACCAAAAAAAAAGTAAAAATCGTTTAGTGTCTACTAGTGCAACTACACGAGCAATAAATACAGGGTCATATGTGATAATTAAATATAACAAAGAATTGTATCCGGCCAAAGTACTTAACATACAAAATGAGGAATATTACTGTTGTGCTGTGACTAGAAGTGGCAGAGATAATTGGAAATGCCCAGAGAAAGATGATGTTCTTTGGTATCGAATTCATGATATAATCCTGATAATACAAGAGCCTCAAGTGATTAATATGCGAGGAGTGTATACAATACCAGAAATGAAAGAATTGAAAGAACAACTAAAGTTCATAGTTTAAATTTTTTTATAATGTTGTTAATGATGTTTCAATAATATATATTTTTTGTTATTTCAACGTTAATTTAGTTTTTTATTAATAAAGTTCGTTGTTTTTCTTTGCTTTAATTTTATTTATTTGAATGGCCACAACTAGTGCATTGTGTGCCAACAATTGGTGCAAAAGTGGTCACAACTGGTGTTTTTCAAGAGTTTTTGCGAATCACATACAATTTATTACTACTATTTTGATAAAATTGAATAGTTAAAAATGTACAGTTTACCTTACATGGTGTAACATGAGTAGAATGTTTGTAGTTGAATAGATATTTATTATTAAAGAATCTAAATCACTAAAGGTGGCCACAACTGGTGCTTCTACCCTACCCAAATAAAATTAATAATAAAAGTCCCATTAATATCTGTCTAACCGCCTGATTACAATGTGAGGAATTCCGCAGTTTTAATTTTTTCTTGAGTTGTTTAAGAAACTTTGTCTAACATTGGTTCCGCCACTGTTTTTCGGCATGTTAATTTAAGTGATGGCCTCGCTCGGCAAACAAAATCTTTAAATAATTAATTTTCTGAAATTAAAAAGGGAGCATTAATTGAATCCATAAATGGATCTTGCCAACAAACTACGCTACGATATGTAGAAACAAAAAACAGCGATCAGCCAATCACAACAGCCGAGCTTTGTACATACATAAAGACACGGGCACGTTTGAGTTTACAGTTACTAAAATAACGTTTCTTGTGATGGGTTTTTGACTTTGTTTCCGAACTTAAGTTTGGTTTTGTCGAGCGGAAGCCACCATACAGAACAAATAAGATCAATCAGTCTCAGGAAAAGAATGTACATTCATACACAACTAGAGTAATTTTTATAACCTTATATTTGGAATAAAATAGATAGATTAATATAAAGTAATTGAGTAAACAATAAAACATTAATATGGGTTACAAAATTTGTTGAGTTTCTCTGAATAATTCTTGATTCAGACTATTATCAAAAGTCAAAATCCGAAACTGAAGCTAATTTCTAATGACAAAATAGGCATCTGTAAAAACACTTCTATATTTTGCTTATTTATAAACACGACGACACGCGTGGCGGCGGTTACAAGTGTTAAAGTCTGCCGAAAGATATACCGTGTTTACAACCTTTTATAGGTTTGATTTTTTAATAAGTCTATCTATGACCATTCCAACATAAAACTTGATGGTCCATAAAAATGAAATGAAAGAAGGCGGATTAAAAAGCAAAAATCTCTAAGTACACGTTTTTATTTTAAATTGAAATAAGAGATCCTAATTAAACATAAAAAAAATAGAAACTAACTCACAAAAGTAACAAAAAATAAAATAAATCTTTAATACTTTTTATTGTTACAAATTTAAACAGGAGATGAATATTCATTTTTAAAACAAAAATTTTCTATGAACATATATCGAAAAATGCTACGCTAGGTTTTTTTTCAATATTTCCGAAATCATTTTAGAAAAAAAAATTAAAATTTGCTACAGATGATAACTTTTATACAACTAAACAAGTACAAAAATAAAATGTTCAAATTTTTAGTTGAGGGCTTCCTAAACTAGATGGGATGAGGGTAAAAATTTACTCTAACTATTTTGCCTGTGGTTTCTTGCCACTTTCAGCAACAAAATTTCAGTTTTTCATAAAAAAGGTCTTTTGTGTTTTTCCGATACAATTTACGGATTTTTAGTAAAAATCGGTTTAAAAATTTATGTTACAGACCATAAATAGCATAAAAATTAAATTTGTTTTACCGTTTAGGACGCCCCTGATTAAAAATTTTATTTGGCATTTGTTTAGGTGTACATATAAAGGTAGCAAATTTTGTAATTTTATCTATTCTGAAATATTGGGAAAAACCATTTAAAAAACGTATTTTTTTTAGGGGGTGTAGCTTTTCGAAACACATTTGTCTTAAAATTAAATATTCTATCAACTATTTAAATTTGTACCTAACAATAAAAATGAAACACTGTATAATTAACACATGAAAAATTAATTAACAAAAATTTAAAATTAACTCACTAAAATAATAAAAAAACTAAATTTTTAACACTTATAACACTATATAACAAAGTGCTCAACATTTCGGGGGGGGTTTGAACCCCCTAATCCCCCCCTTGGGTACGGCCCTGATGCTGTAGAAGCTGTTTTGTAAATGAAAAGCAGAAAAAATCTTGATACAAAAATCTTAGTATTTTATTCATTGACATTAACTGTAACAAAACGATGAAAGTGTCCCTGCAAATTTTGAAGTTCTTCGACCGTTCCAAACTCCACAACCCTTCCTTCCTCCATCACCAAAATCTTATCGGAATCCAAAACAGTATTCACCCTGTGTGCAATCGTCAAAACTGTTGCCTCACTAAATTTTTTCTTAATAGTGCTTTGAATAAATTCATCAGTCTCATAATCAACATTAGCAGTAGCTTCGTCAATTGCTATAATTTTGGCTTTTTTCAAAATAGCACGAGTCAAACATAACAATTGTTTTTGTCCAACACTAAAATTTGAACCTCCTTCATTTATCGGAACCTCCAAACTTTTAACAACTTTTTTCATGCAACCATCTTCCAAAGCTGTCCATATTTCAATATCGCTAAATTCATTAAAAGGGTCTAAATTCTGTCGTAAACTTCCTTGAAATAAGACGGGATCTTGAGGGATAACCGAAATTTTCGAACGTAGTACTTGAAGAGGAATTAACTTGGTGTTGATATCATCGATCAGAATTGAGCCGTCAAAATGAAATAAACGGAAAAGTGCCGCAATTAAAGATGATTTTCCAGCACCAGTTCTACCAACTATGCCAACTTTCTCCCCTCCTTTTATTTGAATGTCAATTTTATTGAGCACAAAATTTTTATCTGGTGAGTAATGCATAGAAACCAAATCAAAAACGATATTTCCTTTTGCAGGCCAGTTTTGTGATACTTCTAAAACCCCTTCATCAACTTCTTCTGTTATTTCAAATTTCGACACACGTTCAACTGAAATTAGACTTGCATCTAGTTCACCCAAAAGCCTAATCAAATATTGTAAAATAGCGATTAATAAATTTGCATGTGTTATGATTATCCCAGCATTTCCTAAATAAATATCTAAGAAAATAGTAGTAGTTTAGTAATTCGGTACACATTTAAGAGATACAAACCTTCGGTAAATGTAAAGTAGAAGCAAAGAACAAATGCTATGTAAATAAATGATAATATTTCTGTCCAAAAAGCAAAAGCAAAATATGTTGCTTTAAACAGATAAAACGTAGACGCTTGATCATTTTGATAGTTGCAAAATTCTACTTCTAACATTTTCTGACAGTTGGAGGTTTTAATTACTGTTATTCCTTGTACTGTTGCGACAACATGGCTGTAGATCGGATTTCTTTCTAGAAAATTTCAAATAAAAAATGTTACATTTATTATAAAAAGAATTACTAATGGCTTCCAGACGTCTTAAAATCCTTACAGTCGATCGAAATGGCTCACTACACAATTTTAAAATTAACACAAGTGCAGCTGTAGGCAAAATCATCCAATAATTTACAATAATAATGAAAACAATTGATCCAGAGACTAATAAAAATTGTGTTAAAGTCATATAAAGTGATAATGGTATAAATTCGTCAATTCCACCAATATCTTTAGAAAATAAATTAAAAATAGTACCTGAAGAAAAAGAATTGAAGAAAGACATTGAGCCTTTGACAATTTGTTTAAATAATGCATCATGAAAAGTTCTTGAAGCTCTAAGACAATATTTAACGAAACTGATGGAAGTAACAGTAGTTACAAAAATATGAAAAAACACAAGTGCACTGTAGACATAAAAGTAGTTTAAAGACTGTATATAATTTTCAGTTAAATTGATCCAAAGTGCCAGAAAATAATCATTAATAATGCTCAAACTTTGTGTCAAAATCAACAAAAATGATAGTAAGAATGTCCATGTGAATGTCCCTCCAGCTTGTAGATAATTTTTCAAAACACCACTTCGATTTGTGATATTTTCTTCTGATTCCGATTTTTCAAAATTATGTTGTAGAAAACTGTCGTCAATTTTTGCCACATTAAGTTCTGCTATTGGCATATCCAACTGTGTTGTTTTTTCAATAGGCACTATTTTCCCGTTAGCTACAAAATATGCTTTATCCACAGTTTTGACAAACTGTAACTGGTGGGTCACTATCACTACACATTTCCCCTTCAAAAATTTCAAGATACATTGCTCAAAAATTTGTCTTCCTACATAACCATCAACAGCCGATAAGGGATCATCTAGAAGATAAATATCGGCATTTCTATAAACAGCTCTCGCTAAACTAATGCGAGCTTTCTGTCCTCCACTCAACATCACTCCTTTTTCACCAACCAATGTGTTGTCACCGTGGGAAAAAAGGGCTAAATCTTGCTCCATTCTACAAACTTTGATAACTCTACGATAACGGTCTTCGTCAAATTCTTCACAAAATAAAATATTCTGTTTTACTGAAGATGAAAAAATCCAAGGTTCTTGTGGAGCGTAAGAAACACTTCCGATCAAATCAACACATCCTTTATAGATTTCAGTCTCTCTTAACAATGTTTGAAGAAATGTTGATTTTCCAGCACCGGCAGGACCTATGAGGGCCACTAATTGGTTAGAAAGTGCTTCAAAATTAACATCTTCTAAAACAGTGGTCGAATTCCATTTAACTGTTAACTCTTGAACGTGAACACCTAGAGGTTTGTTTATGTTGGTTGAATTATTTTCAGATTTAGCAAAATCATGCAAAAGAAATGTCTCAATTCTGTCAATGGAAATTACGATTTCAGCAAGTTGTGTAACACCCAAAAGAAGGAATTGTCCTGTTGATAGTCTCAAGATTTCATAAATTGCAATCAGAGCAAAAATATATGATGGTGTTAGAGGAACCTCCTTAACTAATACTAATGCCAGAATACATAAATAAACGGAAAGTTTCCCTAAATATAATCTAATACTGTTGTTAGTGCAACGAAAATGATTTGCTTTGCTTATCTCCTCCAACTCAGATCTAAATAAAAAAAAAAAAATTACTAAAATAAAATCCATTGCAAAAAATAGTATCTTAACTCCCGAGCCTCAAGTATGAACTTTTCAAACAGTTTTTCCCAAGTGTACATTTTAATAGCCTGAATTCCGTTAAGAAAACTATTCATCCAACGAATTCTATGGTCAGTTTTCTTTGCCACATTCATTCTTATGCTAGAGATGTTTTTGTAGACATAATCTAAAATAAAAATGTATTTTATTAAGTAACAAAAAAATTGAATTAAAAAATTACTTTGACAAATCAACAATATTAATAAAACTCCGATTCCAGTCAAAGCAAAATAATCAAATGTCAAATACAAGTACAAAACAGAAGCTATTAGTTTGATGGGAGTTAACCAAGTGTATGGTGTTAGCATAATGTTATCAAACCTTTCAATGTCATTTGATAACAAGTTAACGATGTTTCCTAAAGAATTTTTTTCCAGAGTATTTTTTTTCATTGTTAATATTTTTCGATAAATTAAAGTACTACAAGCAATTCGAAGTTTGAGGCCCAAAGAAGAAATCGTTAAACAAAATAAATGAAAAGACATAGGCCGAATAAATGAGACTCCCAATACTCCCAATAGATAAAAAAGAACTTTTTTTGTTTGTTTGGCAGCAAGGTCATCAAGAAGTAGCTTTATCAACGTCGGTTGAACTAAGCTGTAAAATATTTTTATATGTGGATCATAAAAAAAATCATTCTTATACGTAAAACATAAATCGGCCGGTAAAAAGAGGAGATTGCTAATCAAAAACTCATGTCCAAATGTTCTGATGAGTGCACGTTTTAATGAAGGTTTTTTTTGTAAACATTCCTTCCTCCAATTGTATTCAAGACGATCTCCAAGTTGTTCCGAGTCATGTTCTTCAAGATTCATGTACGATTCATGTTGACCAGCTTGTTTCCATGTTTTAATAATTAGCGGTAATTGCCAGCTAGAAATAAAATTTATCATAAATCCGATCTTATAAAAATACTTTTTCAAGTGCCTGAAAAATATATGACAAATCCAATTGTATTTCTTTCTTGGATTTGTTTCTTTGTTTGCTAAATATGTTTTGCGCTCCATTTTGTCACTTACTTCTTTTATTACAACAACATTATTGTTTGTTTTCAAGAATCTTTACTTAAAAATAAACGATAAATTATTAAAATTTTATTCACATTTAAAGTACTTTATGATAACAGGTACTTACTGATATCAGTGATATGAATATTCTTTATGTTTTATTTGTACAGGGTGTTCGCGGGTTACGAACTAAAAGAATTCGTTATGAAAAGTCAATTTGAAGACCAAACAAATTCCGTGTCCAAAAATTTTTTTGCACTCATCATTATCGCTGTCAAAACCAGCACACGACAAATGTGCCCATTTTTTGCACCTCACACAAGAGCACTAGCCCTCACTTGATTGAGAATATAGTTCCTTACAATAAAAACAAGGCGTGTTTTCATCTTCTGAACTTTCCTCGTTTTGGTTTTCCACTTGTTTTGAATTTGTTTTTTCCCTTATTTTTTTACTTGTTTTTTTACCTTACTTAATTCCTTTCTTTTAATCATCTCTAGTTTCAATTTTTTTGCCTTTTCAATCTTCACCATGGCTACTTCTAATTCAACTTAATAAAGAGATGATGTTAAGACTGTATTTTTGCCTCTTTTTCTTGTAGACCTTTTCTGGCCTGATTGAACTTTAGGCAAAGGAATCACATCTTTTGGAGAGATACATGTGAATGAAGAAAGAGGTTTTTCTGTACTTCTTGCGGGACTGTTAGTCATCCAAGAACAACCAGGTTCGTAACCAGAAGTGTGAGGCAGAATCCCATTCCGCCCCACCCCGTTCTGCCCCAGTATATACTATTTTGCTAAAAATGAATATGCAAATTATTCTAGTCAATAATGTCATAATATTGTTAGACACGATTTTTTTTTAAACGATTTATTTCTCAAATTAAATACAACAAATATCAGGAGCACCAAATGCACCGTGTCGCCGTATATTTGATAGTGTTCCAGTGATGCGCTTGTCCCTAGATTGTAGCTTCTAAATTCCCTAGAATTCCCTAAACTACTTACAACAAAAAATCAATAAATAATATAACAATAAGTTAAAATAAATTTTACTAAAAAAATAAAAAAAAATACAAGTCAATTAAAACAAATTCAAATAAACGTGTATATTTAGATACCTACACCTACTTAATTTTTATTTATACTTATAAATATGGGATTTCATTAATTTTAAATATTCGTCTAAAACATTAAATGAACTGCAATAATTAGTAAACTTGGCAACGCGAAAAACGCAAACGGCTTTTAGTGCACTTCCTATCTTGTTCATTTTTTTGTCTTTACAAATGTAACTACAGAAAATACATTTTTGGTTTCCGCGTTACTTTGTGCTAAACTCATATACAAATGCGCTAACTTGGCGAAATTAAATATTCATATTAAAAATTTTTGTAATTTTTGAAACTGTGCCAGCAATGTCAAAAAATTGAGATTTTCACTGAAAATGTAAAAAGTCCCTAGATTATTAAGAAAAATTGCCGATTAGATTTGAGTCGTAACATTATATTATAAACGTTGTAAATAGTACATTACAAGCGAGGTGGTAAATATGGCATTACCCCGAGTGCTTATGTATACAATCGAGAGGCGACAGCCTCGAGATCGGATAAAGCACAAGGGGTAATGCCATTACCACCGAGGTTTGTATGCTATTTTATTTACAATCATATTATTTTCAGTCAAAAATTTGAGTAAAATAAAATTCTAACAAAGTTAAGGTCCAAACGTGGTAGGCCATCCAAATGACGTTTGATTTTTGACATTTCAGAAATGTCAAAGAAAATATTGAAATCGTCGTCTGCGTTGATTGACAGTAATAAAAGTCTGGGCAATGCCAAAAAATGGCCGTTGGGGGAGCGACGAGTCTGCAGTCTAATGGAATCTGTATATTTTGGTTTGAAACCTTGATAAATTTTTGTATACAAAAATTTACTTTTGTGTTTCATGGGTTGTATAATAATTTTTTGTTGATTGTAATTTTTTCTAAGAACTAGACCAAAAACATCAAAAATTAAAACATTTTATACGCAAATATAATTTTATTTATTTAAAAAGTAAAGATTTACATTTGCGTTAAATAGTTATTTTTATTCTTTACAAATTTACAAGAACATTAACATATTACAATAACTCTTTATTATTTCTTCAAAACTTTGAATAAAAAACACTAGGATTAATTATATTTTCTACTATTTTTCTATTTGGACCTTGGTTTTCAGCTCTGTTTGTTCTAACATTTTAAAAAGTGCAACATTTGATTTATGATTGTCACTTACCAATTTCAAGATTTTGAAGCCACATTCATGTACTTACCTGTTTTATTACATTTATGCTCATATTAAAAAACTGTTCAGTCGAAAGTGTTTTATGAAAAAAGTATCCAACGGGAATAGTGTATTTGGTAGACAATCCATGAATAACGAAGCACAACAGTTTATTGGCTAAAATGGGCTTTTTTCCTATTATATCGTTCTCATTATTTGCAGTGCCGTAAAATGTATTTTCTGTTCGATTATACTCCATTTTTTCTTTAATGGCCATGTCATCTATAATAAGAGAATATATTTTCTCAACGTCTTTTAAATTATTGCCTTCAGCTGTTATTCTGTTTTTAATTAAATTAGTCAAGCCTGGATCCCCTTGAGAATTTCCCATATATCTGTCTAAAGTTCTTCTGGATGGAGCTTTTAAAAAATGACTTGCAAATTCATAACCTTTTGAAGAAATGTACCTCCAGGCAGTACAATGACGTACTGTAACTTCAGACCATCTTGGGTTTTTTAGGGAATAATTATAAATTTGATCAAGTAAAAACACAGCCCTTGGTTCTAAGTCCTTTGCATCTGACTCAATTTTCACTACACAATGTTAACCTTTATTGTAATTGTCAATTTTTTCCTGCATTCTCTTTAGTTTTTCAAGTTTGAAATCTTACATTTACTTCCTGTAACTTTTTTCTAAATTTTGAATTTTATCTAGTAAGACAAATTTTTTGCCGAACTTATTGCATCTGAAACATTTTTTAAATCAAAATCATGAGTATCACCTACTTTTAAATCGCTTTGTTGATCAAAATCAAATCGAAATGGATTTGAAATCGTATAATTTTTGTCAAATGACTCTGGATATTGGAGACACGGTGCAGGCGTTTCTAACGGCTTACGTTCTGAATTAATGGAAGTGCTAGAAATTACCTGAAAACGAGTAATTCTTTTATAATTCAAGAGCAAGGATGGAACTGCATTTGGTAACAATTTTTAGTTTTTATAATAGCTCGTTATTTCAAAGTGTTTTCCACAAATCACGGAATTTGGGGGTATATTGCCGATGGTACCAAGTATTCTTTTAAGCCATTCGTTTTTTTGATTTCTACTTTTTGGAAATTGATGTAAAATAACACCCTCTTTCTCCGCTTGCCCACAGTTTGGAACACAGCAAGTTCGGATACTTGGCATTTTAAAAATTATAATGTAACGTCTGAAAGATATTGATACTGCGCTTCTTAAGCTGAAAAAATGTATTAGTTGTGTGACAGATCAATATTTTATTAAACGTGTCAACAATTGTGACATTTAATTTCCTGCAAATTTTCAAATTTCACAAATTACAGTTTCCTTTGGAGGGTAACGAGCGCGTCATCTACCGGAATTTACGATTTTGACAAGTTCACGATTTTGTCCTATCATGGCCAACTTCATCTGTCTTCCGCTGCGCTCCATACGGCCGTAACATACTGCCGATTTTATATGGATACGATGAATTCTACTAACCTAAAAAAATCGTCCGGTAACTAGCGTCATCTACTTGACAACTTTAAAACTACAGACATTTCAAATTTGACAAATTTTTTCTCAAATTTTCAAAAAAATTCAAATATGGGCAGAAAGTGTTTTATTTGTGGAGGAAAAGATACTCTATTTGAAATTCCAAGCGATACAGCAGCTCGTGCTCAATGGATCAAAAATATTCAGGAATTTTGTGGTAATTTTAACAGCAAAAATTAAAAAAACCTTTCCCTAAGTTCCTACTACAATACTCTTTATAATGCTTTCAAATATATCGTATGTACATACATATTCCAGTTTCTGTCTTCTATAAATCCCCAGAATTTATGTGAAGGTTGAAATTACGA